CTCTTTCTTTCTTTCTCTGTGACAAACAGTTAAATGAAATAATGTTGCATCATTCACCGAGGAAGTACTCGTGGAACATAAGGTGTACAAATAATCGTTTTCCAAAATAATATCCTTAGCGTCTACAATCAAACGACTCTATAACTGTACATGTATCACGCACCGTCTTCTTACAGAAAACTAGAAACGGGTAACAAACGATAGTATAATACATGTAATCCCATACAGACAACCATGATTTGTTGGTCGTGTTTGAGGCCAGGACTAAAGCACACCTGTTCAGTTGACAGTATTTTCTCTGGCTTCCAGATAACTCGCCACACTGTGAAGTCGTCACATACCTCCAGTGATGTCGTCACAGTTATCTCGTCACATACAGGAACTTGTGAAAAACGTGTAGCGAGTTCACCGTTGATTGGCAGGCAAACCAACACATTATGTCAACCTGTAAGTAATAATATTTTTAAAATACAAAACCAGAGTTTATTCAATCAAAATCTACACATGTCAACCTTTCTGTTTCAACTTTTTAAAGAGAAAACGGACACATTTGTGGGTGCAATTATAAAAACCTGTTTAAAATTGTGCATAATGGAAATGTCTTGCCCACCAATGCTGAACGTTGCCGACCGTTGCTTACACGAGGGGGATGATGTGACGATTTCACTGTTATTTGGATATTATTTTTACGGGGAAATCGCCACACGCTTTTCAGCTGTGTTGACTTCACCGTGTGACGAGTTCAGTGGTTCCCTTTTCTCTAGGACTGCCTGACATCATAGTCGGTAAAATCAGAAACAAGCTTCATCTTCCAAGGTAAGCCTCGCTTTTTTCCTTGTTAATTATTGTTGATGGGTTTTCACATCCACACATGCCACACACCCTGCAAGATCCAACAGGCCGTGAGGACGACAACACCAATAGTGGCTGTTGAGCTGGCGTGCAGGAAGTGGTGTGTGGCACCGGTGGGTGTGGAAACCCATCAACGATAATGACACAATCTATAGAGAGAGAAAAATCACTACCTCAATGCTTTCTTGTCCTATCTCCATTTCGAATAACAGTGAAAACATTTCATAATCAAGAGTGAGCTTAAGAAGAAGTCACATTTTCATTTTTTTAAAATAGTGATAGGACAAGAAAGCACTGAAGTCGGGTCGCGATTTTTTTTCTCTCTATAGATTGCGTTATTCTCGTTGATGGTTGTTGTTGTTTTTTTCACATCCACCTGTGCCACACCCCCCTCAGGAGCCAACACGCTGTGATGACGACAACACCAATAGTGGTTGTTAAGTTGGCGTGCAAGAAGTGAGCCCCGCCACACGACTCGTATTTGAGCCTGCTGTACTCATCCTCCGAGCACGGCCCCGCGTTGACCAGACAGTCGTGAGACGAGCCGTACAGGTTCCGGTACAGGATGAGCTGGCAGACCTCTCGCTGGTTGAACAGCTCTATGGAGGCGTTGTACTTTTCCTTGCATTTGTTCACGAAGTACTGGCAGAACGGAGACAGCTCTTTGCCCACGAACATCATCACACGCTGGAATTTCTCGTCTTTGGTTTCGCTCCGTGCGCTCAAGAAGCACGTGCATAGCACCAGGGCGATGCCGACCGCGCTGATAGAGCTTTTGGTGAGCATAATGATGGCGGGGATGATGATGAGGATGATGATGACGAAGAGAAAGAGGAGGTTGGATTGTTGTCCTGTTGTTGTTGCTGTTGCTGTTGCTGTTGCTGTTGTTGTTGTCGATGTTGTTATTCTGAGCTGTGGTACTATTCTGATGAGGGTGTCGTTCCTCGGGCTTGTTCCTTTGTCTCTTCACTTGTTAGTTAACGTTGCATTCTGGGGGAGGAAAAGAAAGTAGTAAGATGTTAAATACGATGAACAGATAAAACGAATAAAGGCACTCTTATGACCTTGTGTAGTCGCGAACGTCGTAAAACCTTACCAAAACTTCTCTTTTTCTAACCCAACAGAATCAACCCAGAAAAACGACCAATGTGCTTGCGTCGTGCCCAAGTATATGAAACAGTCCAGTACCTTTGGGAATGGTATAAAGACACTTCAGTCATTGGCACTGTCCTGTTTTTTGTTTGTTTGTTTTTTTTGGGGGGGGGGGGGGCTCAACACCCTTTATTATCTCAGTTAGTGACAATAGTTATCGAAGACCTCCACCTTTTCTTTACATGACATTGGACTTCAAGGTGCATGTTCAACAGCATCTTGATTAACAATAACAACAACAACAACAGCAACAACAACAACAACCACAACAACAACCACAACAACAGCCACAACAACCACAACAACAACCACAACAACAACCACAATGACAACAACAACAACAAATTATTCCTGGTAGGCCTATACAATATCTTTCGTAATACACAATTACACTCTATAAAGCTTAAACTTGCTTGAACGAAAAATGGAAAACACATTTAATGAAATTTAGTTTTTGTTTTGTGGTAAACTGCGTGTTACGTCTATTATAATAAGTAATGAAAGGACATTTGTGGGGGGGTTTTAAATTTAGACCGTGAGTTCGATTCCTTTGTGGGTTTTTTTGGGGGGTGGGGTTATCGAATATATTCATATTCTGTCTGCTGGGATGGTGTATGCCACTCAGCATTGAGTAGCCCTCACGACTCACATCGTCCTAAATCATCTAAATTGTGTCGATGGGGGTGCAAAATTACTTGTAGATCTAGTTGTTTTTTTTTAATTTAAAAAAAAGCAAACAAAAACAAAACAGCGTATCACGGTAATTTTGTGAGGTTTGGGCAAAGAAAACTACATGGACACAGTACCGGCCATTTAGTGGTGCAGCGGGAGAGTCAGACAAACAGACAGACAGAAAGAAGAGAGTGAAGAAAGAAAAGACCTACCACAATAAGCTCCTAAGTGCTGAATCACTTCACACTACAGTTTACTGTAAATGGTCGCATTTAGGCACAAGGGATCTCGAGCTGTCCCGAAAAATGCTGCTTTGAGAAAATCGAAGGTAAAGTTGTTGTTTTTTTCTACCTTGTTCAGTTTCTCTAAAAGACAAGGATAGTTTTTTTTCTATAACCAAACAAATATACACTCCAAACCAATGAAACAAAACTTCTCCTTATAGGTAGGGAGGGCAATGCCCTCTTTTGGTGTAGGTCAAGATTTCTGGAAACCCCCGAAGTCTGAGTTAGCCAGGTCGTCCTTAAAAATGACGAAATAAATGTCCAGTGGAATAATAGGTTTTGACGTCGAATCCACACGGAAAACGTAGGAAAGGAAGACCAAAGATGACATGAAATCGAGCGGTACAGGCAGAAATGGAAGAGGCGGGGACATCATGGAAACAACTAGAAAAAAGATGCACAGGACAGGCTTCGCTGGAGAAATGTTGTTGATGGTCTATGCTCCACTGGGAGTTTAAAAAGGGCAAGCGAGGAATAGTGAGTAGCCTACATACCAGCAAGTCCTGGTTCTTTTCCGTGTTCCCCGTGTTGTCAAACAGAATATTTTCCCAGTGTCTCCACCAGCCGACCGTGGAAGAATGACAGGAGGTACGAGGAAAACTGTTTTCAACACGCGTAAACGGCTGTTGTTATCAGAAATCGTTATCAATATCGCCCAAGTTCTCTCACACACACTGATCAGGCCATATATTGAGAAGAGGAGAGGAGGGTGTGGGAAGGTGGGGGAGGTGGGGCAGGGCGAGGGTGGAGAGGGGACGAATGGGGGAGGTGGGGCAGGGCAAGGGTGG